TGAGAAAATCTATAGAAAGCGAGAAAAATTATAGAACACTGACTTTGAAACTATCCAGCCCCTCCCACAGCTCACAGCCCAGAAGCATGAACAGCCAGCGGCGGCCTACAGTGGGCGAGAGTCCCTAAGTCCCAGACATGGAGCGGAGTAAGGCCAGAACCATGTAGGGAGCCCAGTGGGAGGAGAGCACCATCACCTAGCCAGTCGTCCGTTTCATGGACTTACTAGGAGTCCTCACATCACCCGACCATTCACACTACTGTTACATGGATGGCAAAAGTAGCAGACGGCTGGGCAGAATGCGGGGAAGAGGCAGAGCGGGAGGGGGGCCGAGTCGCTGCACCATGGGCCTCGGGGTTGTACTTGCCCCCTGGGCTAAAAGTTGCAAGTCAGCCCCTGCCCTGAAGTGTCCAAATGTGAGAGAATGAGAAGAATGGAGCCTGTGATTAGAGCTCCTAGGAAAGTTAGAGCGTTGAGCAAGATGAAGCTCATTACTCAACTAAGTAAAATATAGGATGTTACTATTTATATTAAAAAGTTAATATCATGCCAATGGCAGAACAAATGTTTTTTGTATTAAAATCCAGTCTTTTTAAGTCGTTCTTATGGCCTAGTTACATACACTATGTGCACATTAGCCATCTGCATTTTACTACTGTATGCTTCATTTTCATACATATGAGTGTATAAGCACTTGGCAAAAGTACATTGAGGGGAATTTATCAAAACTGGAGCAGACAGAATCTGGAGCAGTTGGCCATGGCAACCAATCAGCTTCTATCATCAGTCTGTTCAGTTAAGATTTGAAAACGAAAGAGAAAAGCTGAATGGTTGCCAGGGCCAACTGCTCCAGATTCTGTCTGCTCTGGAGCAGACGCTCAGGGCAACCAATCAGTTTCTCTCTTCAGTGTGTTCAGTTAAGATTTGAAAATGAAAGAGAGAAACGGATTGTTTGCTGTGCACAGCTGCTCCAGATTCTGTCTGCCCCAGTTTTGATAAATTCCCCTCAATCTGTTCATGAATGATTTTTCTGAATGAAAGAACTGTGGCAAATAAAATGCATTGGTATGTAGGAGCCCTTACCAGCTCCACCAACACTCCCTCACCAGTGGACAAGGTTCTTCAGTGGTTCAGCATGCAAGGGAAGGACAATGTTTAGCAACGGTATAGGCATAATTGTCAGCATGACATGGCTTTTTGCTTGGTCATACGTGAAATATATTTGTCATATATTACCAAAAGGTGCAACCCTCAAACCTTCCTTCACGTGCCAGGCTCAGCTATTGTTTTGTCCATATTGTATAAATATTCCTTAGGCAATAAATGCCAAGTATGCATCCTTCCTAGAATGGAAATCACAGTAGGACAAAAGAAGACGTGGAGGTTGATATACTCAGCCCTCGTTCACACCTGAACGTTTTGTAGCGCGTTCTACGCTCGACGAACGCTCTACAAAACGCTCAAAAATATAAATCCCATTGTATTCAATGGTCTCGTTCCCACCTTGGAGTATTTCCGCCCGTCCCTAACGCGCTACAAAACGGCCCACGCCTGAAAAGGTACAGGTACTACTTTGGGCCGTTTTTGTTGCGCGTTTCCATTGGGATACAGCCAAGTAGCCTTCGGAAACGCGCGACTTTTTACCGCGAATCGCGGTAAAAACACGCGCGACAGACGCGCATATGCAATACGCTTAGGTGTGAACGAGACCTAAAGGCAAATATGCTGTTGACTTTGCAAGGGAATTGTCTCTTAGCTTAGTGAATGTGGTGAAGCTCTGCTGATTTCCATCATCCAATCATGTTCAAGCAAAAATACTCTTTTATGTCTTATTTTCCTTACATGTGATTGGGTATTCTATTTACCTTGTAAATTGCACCTTGTATCATTTTCACCAAACTCAGGGAAAATTCCCTTGTAGAGTGAAAATTCTCTTACAAGGCAAATAGCCTGTTTTTTAGTAAATCAACCCAATAGGTTGCAAAATTCCAGAACATTGGCAGTGACTATAGCCCTATAAAAATACACATATTCACTAAATGCACTGAAACGCCCTCTTCTGCCAGCTGATCAGCAGCCGATCCTTCTGGCACAGCAGAAAAATTGTGCGTCCCGTCACTGTCTAGTACAGGACCATCAGTTACCATCCGTACAACATTATTATCCGTTTCCATTTTGTTTGGCAATATATCTAATGTAGTTTTGTCTCTGGGGTCTCAGACATTACACCTCCCCCTGGAGATGACAAACATTTGAGCAACCTAGCCCAATCTATGCTGTCTGAGTTCCCATCAAAAGCATCCCATCCTTCCAATACCTCCCTCCAAGGAGACCCCAATGGCTGCGTATTAGACATTAACCCCTCGGTTACCATAACAGTTAGGATGTCCCTGTCTTCATACACATCCTGCTGCTTTACCACATATCCATTACTTTGAGCTGGTGGCACTACATCACCCAGCGGAACATTATCCGCATTACCCTTTTCAGCAATTTCACCATTAACCCTTTTACCTTCAACCAAAGGCAATGGCATTATCTGATAATCCATACATTGAGCCGTCGGCTCTGCAATTAACCCTTGCATCACTTTACTGTGACCCGTCATACCGGCACCACAATGACCCTGGGTAATCTCTGGCTCCACGCTCTTGAGCCCCTCTGAGATTTCCAGGGATATTTCTGTTGCACCCACCCTGGTAGCAAACTACGCATTTTCATCTCGACATGCATTTTTAACAATTTTTACATCAACATTATCTTTTTCAACAGTAGTAATCTTCAAATCCCCCTTTGGATGGAAAGAACACACATTATCACATGCCTTTTTAACACCTGCCTCTCCACAACCCTGTGTCCTGAGTAGAGGCAAGTCGCTCATACAATGTCCCATGGGCCTCCAACAAGAGTTACTCCAACCTCACACATAAGGCTACAGTCAGTCTTTTTGACTATACAGTTCCAGCAAACAATTCAGCAAAGTCAGTCTTACCACCCCTCTCAGGCATCGTGGTTAACTTCATTTGAGAGCGCTGGTTCTGTGTTGACTTTTTCCTCTCATCTCTGGCACCCTCTGTAGGCTCCAAGGAACTTTCCCGTGCGTTGCTATGGACAACTGCCTGCACATTAGCCTCATGCATTAGACTGGCGGGTTCGAACTCCTGCCCACCAGCATCTCCCGTGGTACCCCACAGCACAGGGCATGTCACACACCCATGACCCCATCGGCCACATGCTGCACACGGTACTGCACGATCACCTGCGTTTCCCTCCTGGAAACTCCTGGCAGGTTGAAACGCACCCACAGCTTGAACAGAACACTGAGCTGCATCTCCACTGCTGCTTTTGCACACTGTGTTCCACAGTCCACAGAAACCTTTAGAGCACTGTCTCTTTAAGGATTTGCTTTTCTCCTGCAGACCTTGACTCACCTGCTTTGCACAGCAAGCATCTCTGTTTTACCTACAGGAACAGTTCACCCTAACTTCTGTTCCAGAGACTCCAGTCTCTACACACTCTGCCCTTTTAATGTCTGTTTACTGCATTCACAACTTCTTCCACTTTCCTGGGTCCTGTACCTTCAAGGCCTCTGTGAGAGCATGGCCGGTACAACAGTGATCCCACTTCTGACACCACTTGTAACAAGGACACTCCACTGTAGACCGCAGGTGCAAGTAAAATGCAGTTTTATTAAGGGCATACGCCATACATCTCGTTCCATCCACAGGGTAGACCTCCCTTGTTGCACAAGATAGCTTCCCTCGTGAGCCCTCACTCTGCTCTCTCAGCAGTGTGTCCCAGGGGTCCTAGGGTCACCGACCTTCCCGACCTCTCCCAGCCTTCCCTGGCTGTTCCACGTGTCCCACACGCACCTGAATCTGCTGTGGCTCTGTGCTTCCTGCACCCGCACAATTCCCACTCAACTCTCTGAGCACTGGGCTGCCTTCTTAATGAGGCTGCTCTCAGCCACCTGATCATTGGCAAAACCTGGCCCCCAGGACTGGAGATCTCATCCCACCCAGAGCTCTACGGAATCTCCAGAGCTCCAGACCCCAGTAACAATTCTGAAAACCTGGAAGAATCTGAAAGGCCAGGTTCTTCCTTGTCAAATGGTTTACACTCTGGACCCCCTCAGCCCCTCTGGCTGAGGGTCCTGAGTGCCATAGTTGCCAAACTACACCGTGGCATTGGCTTACACTGCCACAGTATGTAAATATACACATTCACATGTGACTTGCAAGGAATAATTGGGAAAAAAGGCTAATGGGGTCTAGTTGGAGAGATAATTTTTCAGGAGTCTGGTATTATGCTGAAAGAAAGATCAGATAGGGAGAAGAGTGGAAACTTACTGGGCGCTGCTCTAGTTAAGAAACTTGATAGGGGACTAGAGTGGAGTGTCACATCTAATATATCAGGACATTGTGCAGGACAGATGGAGGAGTGGGACGAGAGTCAAAATCAATCACAGACTGTCCATGCAGGATCTAGGACATTTGACAGCTATCTCTGTAATACAAGAATGACGCCAGCTTTATGAAAAGTGAAGCTTATAGTTGCAATAAGACTATCTAACCATCTTGCTTTCAAAGTGGTGATGATATTTCATGCTAACCTTTCACGCACCTTTCTGTCTTGTATTTATAGCTGTCATCCTTGTAACACTGTATACAAATTAATTGCATACATTGGGGGGAATGTATCACAACTGGAGCAGACTGAATCTGGAGCAGATACCCATAGTAACCAATCAGCTTCTATCTTTAATTTTCAAAGCTTAGCATAACAAGCTGGAAAGAGAGGCTGATTGGTGACTATGAGCAACTGCTCCACATTCTGCCTGCTCCAGTTTTGATAAATTCCCCCCATTGTGTTGTTGGCTGGGTTTTCACCTAGGAAATCTTGGTTCTTGAGCACTTTCATTTCTCTGTCTGGCTGAAATCCCTCCCCATTATTCTTACTCCTCTTACAGCGTCTATTTCACAACCTGTGGGAAACGACTGCAGCAAGATCCCGTCACACCCAGCTCTGAGAAATACACAGCTGAAAGCTTTGAAGAAGGCTGTGAGAAATACAAACGGTAAGGCACATCCATTTCAAATCTTGTTTGCAAAAAGGAGTCGGAACAAGCTATAACCATGTATTGTTCCTATGACTACTAGGAACTAGACCCATAAACACTCATGGTTTTTTAATGGTTTAATTGAGTTTGATCTCCAGGTAAATTTTTATTGCTGTTTGAGTGCACCATACTACCACATCTGACTTCCTTCCGTATGTTACAATGATGCTAATGTAAGACAAAACTGCTATGTTTCTCTTACACCTGTGAGTAAGAGGGTGTACTAAACACACTTATAAGCTGCTTTATAAAGGGAACTTAGTAATGTTCTCCAAAACACACTTATAAAGCTGCTTTATAAAGGGGACTTAGTAATGTTCCCTTATTTCCTCCACAACTCAGTTTACTCACTTCCATGTCTAGTTAAGTTTGTAAAGTTAACATGTTACTGTTGACCTTCTGAAAACACTGATCTTCTTGCTTACATGTAAAGACTCAATAGTATGCAGATCAGGAAAGGCAAAGTCTGAACTCCTTATCTGCATATTTGCTCGGACTCAGTGGCGAATCACGATGATCGGCATGACAGCCAGGCAACTAGACTTTTCAGAGGAAAAAGTCAGAGATGGTATCCTCCTTGGTTCTCTCATGACGAGCTTTCTTTAAAGGAGAACTATTGTGAGAGTAAAATGTACTCTTTCCAATAGTTTAGGCAAGCGTGTGATACTGCAGATGTCACACGCTGGCTCTATAGCTCTCTCCACAGGGATTTCTTGCCTCTCCTCTCTCTATTCCTGCAGAGTTCATTGGAGGCATAGAGAGGGGAGGGGCTGAGAACAGCTGGCTTTGGCTCTAGAGAGGCAGAGTCAGCTGTCAATCAGGTAGCGGGGTGGATTCTGACAATATTGTCGGCAGCGTTCCAGGCTCTGCGCTGTCAGCATATAGTGGGCAGTAGTCGGCTAGAAGCTGACTTTGGGTCACAGGAGTACATTAGTAAATGTACTCCTGTGACCCAAAAGAGGACTAAAGCCCCCCAAAAAAAGGTTTGGCCATAGTTCTCTCCATATTGGCAAGAGCTAAGCAACTAATTTTGACTGATGTTCATCAATGGTTCTAGTACCTGTAACCTTAAATATAACACACAGTCTAATCATAATCTTATATTGTCTTTACAGGAACCAAGATGGATGCACTGACTAATGCTTGCACCAACTTTTCACTTGATTTGTTCAGAAAATTATGTGAAAGTAACAGCACAGGGAACATTTTCTATTCTCCAATAAGTATCACAACTGCACTGGCCATGATTTACATGGGGACTAAAGGTAAAACCGCTGAGCAAGTATCAAAGGTGAGTATAAAGAGTTTGAATAGGAATAGCATTATTTATTATAACTAATGTCATTTATTTAATATGGAATATCAAGCTATGCAAATGATTATAGAGGTCGTTTATTACCTTGGGTTGGTTAATGCAGTAAATGTTCAAGGCACATATTCTTCTTTATTGTGGTGTTTTCTTTAGGCCCTAAGTAGTATTTTAGGTGCTCTTGCAGGGCAAAGCAACAGGTTCTCTTTAATGCCCCCTCCCCTGCAGCACCTGCTCCCAACCCTGCTCCTCCGTGCTTTATTCCTCCATCACTATGTTCAGCTACCTTGAGTAAGGCTGGTCATACACTATTTGCTTGATTACCCCATCCACACTAAACAGCATGGATGGGGAAATCCCCAGCCGGGTTATTGCATTTTGACAGTGCAGTCAGAATACCTGGAGAAGAATTTCGGAACTGGCTCCTTCAACAAAAGCCGATTGAAAGATTATTGAACAGAGGCAGAAGATGGCCTAACTTTGACCAATGTATGGCCAGTTTAAGGAAAGGAAGCTGTGTGTAAACGGTGTCACATGAGAGGAAGGGGCATAAGTCCTATGCCCTTTCATACCGGAAGTACTGGGCACGATCCATATTGCTGAATGGAGCAGAGTGGAAGAGAAGAAAAGGTGAGTATATGTTGTTGGGAAGGGAAATTAAAGAAAACTTGCTGCTTTGCACTGCATGTGTAAAGCATAGGTTTGCTGTAAGTATATTCCAAAAGGCTGAGATCGGCATTAGTGTTAACAAAGAGCCACATGTAGAACACAGACAACTGCCTGAAAAGCAATTAATCACAGAATTTCTTATTTGATATACTTTTTTTAAATAAACTTGATTGCAGAGAGATCTTGAGGGGAACCTGTAGTAAGATACAAATGCAGGTTGCCATCACTGGCCTCTTTCTGAAAATACTAGTTGTTGGGCTTTTTCTGCCTTTAATACTTTCTAAGTTACAGACCCAAGTCAGGGTAAAGCCCTGCAACTGGAATTTTCTAAATGGAGAGTTTGGTAATGGCAGCCTGCTTATATATTTTAATATAGGTTTCCTGATCAGTATCCTTACTCAAATGGCTCTTGGCAAAAACAGTAAAATGCCCATGCAGTTTAATAGAATACAAGCACCAATACGTGATCAAATGTTACATCTTTGTGCACTGTGTGTCTTCTGTTGCTAAATGTGATGTTGTCATAGGTCACACACCTCTAATAATCTAAACTACCAAGAAGATAACACATCTGTTATCAGTAAGGGAAGGTCTTAGGCTGAGACAAATCATGACAGCAAATGTCAGGGCAATCCTCTCTTCGGGCATATATCCTTTATGACCGTTGTAAAGTTATTACATCAGGTGTACTTTGTACTTGGCTGGGTGAGGTTTATACTTAACAAAAATACAGATAGGTCATCTAAATATGTACATCAAAGGTGGATTTCCTTTGGATTCCCTTATTGCAGGCGTTCCACAGTAAATAGCATTTTGTGATGTGTTTACTAAGAGATAGTCACTTCCTGGCTTCTCCCTTCCAGCCAACTTACCTAGATCATGTTTAATCAAATCTTGCTGTTGAGTTGAACTGTAGAGACCCCAAGTTGTTTCGACAGTGCCTGGTCACCAGTGGCGTAACAACCGAGGGGCAGGGGGGGCACTTTTGGCATGTACTGCAATCAGATCTTTTCTAGTCAATTATATATTAATAAAATTCAATCCAATTTGTACTAAATTGGAGTATAATCTGCGTCTGCTGTGGAAATGACTTGAGCTTAAATTATTTACTTGTATTCTGTCCCTGAGTGTCAGACTGTAAGGCCATCCTTTCTCCTGCTTGAGCTCAGTGCTCATACCAGACACTGAAACACTGTCATATAACAAGGGGACTGTCAGGATTACATGAAAGAGAAAAAGTTTGTGAATATACAATGTTTAACCTGCCCCAACAACCTGGAATGCCTGCCAATTATCAGCCCTAACCTCAGGCAGTAGATAGGATAGCCTTGCAGCCTGCCACTGGGTTGACATTTCTGCTCTGAAAAGTAGAGTATGCAAGTGTATAAGAACACACACCCTATTCCTGTCAGGTAGGGGTGCACTATTATAGCTCCTTAGAGTATGTCTAGTGACAACAGTTTTACCAGAGAGGGAGTGATGGGTACTCTACAACAGCAACACAGACAGAAATAAAACTGCTTTTCTTTAGTAGAGTAAGTAAGGACTACTAACCTTGTCTGATTTATATTGCAGTGTGTGTCCCTGTTGCAGATTTTCCCTCTCTTTCATGACTGGTAACATGTTGTCAGCAGGACAGGAAGTATAGGAAAATCTATCTAATGAAGCCCCAGATAGCAGTAGAAACCAAAACGGTTCTAATACTTCTCCACTTCATCCAAGACTAGAAAAAAGCTTTGGCTTGACATACATTTTAGGAATAGAGTTTTGGACTCCTGAATGGAAAGTCAGGATAATTTTATTTGTAAAACAGGTATACCACACAACTATGCAATCCATTATTATTGTTTTTTCTATTCCTTAGTTTTGAGAGCTGTTGTCAGGTCCAGATCAGTATAAACATTGCATTGTTTATATTTAGCCAGTCTACACCCTGCACTATTACTACAAACCAAGCCCGAAAATAATGCGGAAGGCATCTACTCTGCATTCCTGTTTTCATGTGATTTATAGCTCTTAAAAGAAAAGGAAAGAAAAACTAGAGGTAAACCGCTACAGTACATTTGCAACGTTTCTTGGTTAAACTACCTTAAGCTGGGTACACACCGAGCGAATTTCAGCCAATTCAGCAGGAACCGGCTGAAATTTAATCCGTTAGTGACCCTATCCCCTCGACAAAAATCGATCTTTAGCTTTTCCCGAAGGAACATGTTGGAAAATCATCCACTGAATGCTGCTTGCAGCCAACTAGCTCATTAGCTACAATGCACACAAGGAATGCGGGAGGAATCTGTCATATATTTTTTCATTCAGCCCCTACTCTGAACAAAAAATCGTAAACTATGTGTGTCCAGTTTTAATGTAATAAAATATATCATTTGTTTTAAAAGTGCACTTACCCTTTAAATGAAACCTGTAATAAACATGAGGGCTGCCAATGCTGAACTCCCTCTTTAAAGTGAACTTGTGTTTTACTGACTTTGTGCTTCACCGAACATTGCTGCTTTGCACTGACTTATTTCATCTCTTTTTTTAGCAATTGTATTTTTTAGATAAACCAGTAAAACAGCTTGAAGCCTAATGTTACCCTTTCTCAAAGTCTGCACACACTGAAAATGCACTATGTTTTCCTTTTAAGATGCTAGCTGCCTGACTATCAAGTTGACCTTCTTACTTCAGTATTCTGAGTCACTGACTTCTGGCATTTCTTTTTCTTTCCTGAGCATGTTTTCTGGAATCCAAACACAAGCCACCCTGCAGATCATTTGGATGCTGTCCAAGTTAGCTAAACATGGAGTTGACTAAAGTGGTATAACATTATGCTTTACTATATAAGATAGCCAATATTACATATACCCTCTACGCAATTACATATCCAAAAACCAGTCTTTTGCTGTACACTTACAGTATTTTGATAATCATGGCAGTTCTGCTTCTATGGTCCAGACACCTGTGTATTCTCACAATTATGTAAAGAGAAAGCCAGATCTCATAGTAACAGAAAAGCAATATGACCCAAATTTAGTAATTTAGCATTTTATACAGAAAATCTTCATTAGGAAGCTTGCCATTTTTATGGATGGCTGGCAGTCTTCGCATACATGTCTTGTCAAAATTGTTTTACCAGATATATTGACTTTAACAGTTCAATTATATATATATTTTTTTTATTTCTGTTCTTTTTGTATATAGGTTTTACATGTTGACAATATTAAGGATGTCCATTCTAATTTTCAAACACTGAATGCTCAGATTAATAAGAAAGCTGGCTCCTCATATACACTGAATCTGGCTAACAGACTGTTTGGTGAAAAGACATTTGACTTCTCTTCTGTGAGTATTGTTTGTCCTAGGGGAAAACATTTAATGAATTTCAGAATGTAATTCTTTATACTGTATAAAATGTATGGGTCCACAATTCAATCTTTTATCAAAATACAAGCAAACTATTATAGTAACAAAGAAAAAGGATGACCTCAGTCACTCAGAGCAACCAGTTAGCACTTAACACTGTTCTATCTGAATTCTGATTGGCAAAGATTACTGCATATACAGGTGAAACTCGAATAATTAGAATATTGTGCAAAGTTCATTTATTTCACTAATGCAACTTAAAAGGTGAAACTAATATATGAGATAGACTCATTACATGCAACGCAAGATAATTCAAGCCGTGATTTGTCATAATTGTGATGATTATGGCTTACAGCTCATGAAAACCCCAAGAACCCCAAATCCACAACCTCAAAAAAGTAGATTATTACATGCAATCAATAAAACAAGGACTGTACATAGAACAATATCGGACCTCTGAAAAGTACAAGCATGCATATGTACTCAGTACTTGGTTTGGGCCCCTTTTGCAGCACTTAGTGCAATTACTTTTGCACGATATTCTAATTATTCGAGTTTCACCTGTAATTGCTTGTTCCATTATGCCTGTAAATGAAGGTCCCTATCCTACCACAGAATTTAATTTCCTGGTAGCGTTTCTAAAAATGTTACTGTTTTAGTGTAGGTGGTATAGGAATTTCAGTATTATAAGCCACCTGTTGTATGAACTTGTCGCCTTGGCCAATTCAGCTACAGAAGAGGAAGGAAAGCCTCTGCAGTCTCCATGGGGGCTTGATGAGTGTGATGAGTAACACCAATGGCACTTGAGCTACAGCTGTTGTTACTGAATGAGTATAAGGGGCAAAAATCTCACATTTCAACCTATCTGTGATTTTCTGACAAGTATCACAAACTGCATTTAAATAGATAGCTGCCATATGTGCCAGGGTCACTAAAAAATATAGCCCTTCAGGAATAATTGCATACTATTTCTTGTTCTGCATGGCAGAATTAGTTGTCAGTGTCAGGCATTGTTGATCTGGCTGTTTATGGGCATATTTACTTAAACGTTTTCTATCACAGCTGCATTATCATCACCAGTAAATAGTTACATACAGTACTTAACATAAAAAACAAACCAAAAAATAAATAAATGAAAACCGACTATCATCAGAACCCTCAACCTGCCATTATTCTATAAGAAAACTCATAAAGTGAGGCCCACTGTGCACTGACAGAGGACACATTTCTTCCTGATCCTCATGAAATGTTATTAAGAATTAATATTTTGTGCTTTTAGAAATGTAAAGCTCATTTGCAATCAACCTAATAATTTAGCTTTAACCAGTTACAATGAAAGTCTTTTCCACATTCTTAAAGCTTTTTTACATGAAATAACCTTTTCCATATGTAGAGGTTATTTTGTTTCCTCCAGCTACAAAGAGTGCCCTTTTGTGGTTACCTTAAGGACTCATTCACACAGCGTAAAGTCGGGCCGTACAGATCTGTGTGCGGCCGTATCGGGCCATTCCCGGGAAGGACAGGTGCTGCGTGTGATTGCACGCAGCAGCCTGTTCTTCCCTATCCATCCTGTCTGCATACGAGTATGGATGCCCGCACCTGCACGGATGTGCAGCTCGGGTGTGCGTACTGTCGCATCCACCCATAGAGAAGAAGAGGCTGCTGTGTACAATTACACGCAGAACCTATTCCTCCAGGGAATGGCCCGATACGGCCGTGCACACCGCACGGATCTGTACGGTCCGACACTACGCTGTGTGAATGAGGCCTAAAGTGATCGACCTTTCACTGAATTTTCTATGTGGACCATTAATGTATTTATGCAAGGTAATCATATCTCATTATATGAGGCTGAAATACAATTCAGTTAAAGTGAAAACAAAGCATTCTTCAGCAATGTTTTGCTAATTTTTTTAAAATGTAACTCTACTAATACTTTAAGTCATAGTCCTGCAACAACCAGCATTCCAATCCTCTGCTCTTTAGCATTGGAATGAGGGTGAGCAATTGTAGTAGCATCTATGTCCCAACCTGATGACTTGGCTGCTGGTCCTGCACTACAGTGCAGGTATAATGACGTTTATTGAGAGTTGAGGCAACAAGACAGGTTAAAGACTAGCTTCCAAAGCAACTTCAGCAACCGGGTCATCACAAACCAAACCGCCAGGATGGAAGTTTGCTGAACTATGATCTACTTCTTTTTTCCTGAGGTTCTAGTTATAAAGCAAGTTCCTCATCTCTGCAAGCTTGAGTTTCAGAGCAACCATTTTGTAAACTGGTGTCCAAAATGTAACAGCATAATAAAATGAAGTCTTAAGCTATCCATACATGGATAGATTTCTCTCTTTCAACTCCGTGAGCTGAATAAGAGAAATCGCTTGATTCCTGATGGGGCCACCCAATGGATGAATTTTGGCGAATCCAACAGAAATTCGAGCCAAATATGGCTAGCATTACTGTATTTAGTATAAAGTAAAAATTACATTTGGCTCTTAAATCTATGCCTTTTTTAATGCACAAAGGTATCTTGCTTACCTTTAAGAGCTGTAGATTGGGAGTAGTCTGATCAACTGAGCTATCCAGATGATTCTATCATTAATTCACTCTGTTTAACCCCATCCCCAGATAGTATTAGGAATGCACATTTTTAGCCCTGTTTAAGATCTTGTATTGTATGCCTTCTGGGAAATATCAGAATCTGCCATACAAAATGCTGATCACTGAATTAATTTTCTTGGGCTTTTGATCAAGTCTGAGATATCCTTAGTTGCTATTGAGCTTACTCAGCTTAACCTCATGAACACTCAGGAAATCAGCCAATACTGTAAACACACAAAGAGTGTAAAAAAAATGATGAGGTCAGGTAAGGTAACATACAGGTGAAACTCGAATAATTAGAATATCGTGCAAAAGTAATTGCAATAAGTGCTGCAAAAGGGGCCCAAACCAAGTACTGAGTACATATGCATGCTTGTACTTTTCAGAGGTCCGATATTGTTCTATGTACAATCCTTGTTTTATTGATTGCATGTAATAATCTACTTTTTTGAGGTTGTGGATTTGGGGTTCTTGGGGTTTTCATGAGCTGTAAGCCATAATCATCACAATTATGACAAATCACGGCTTGAATTATCTTGCTTTGCATGTAATGAGTCTATCTCATATATTAGTTTCACCTTTTAAGTTGCATTAGTGAAATAAATGAACTTTGCACGATATTCTAATTATTCGAGTTTCACCTGTACTGACTTAAAGAAGCATTAGTAGTATGGAATGTGTGCAAATGAAACTTCTGATCAATCATAGGAGAATTAGTGTTCCTCAAACGTGTGCTCTTGGGAACCACGTTCCCATAATATGACCCTTGGACACTGGGCTCTGCTTGTGACACTCCCCAGATACCTTGTGTACTGACTAGTTAGCCACAGAGCACTTTATGGGTCCAGGACCATGGCATAGCCTCTCGCCTGACCCAGTCACTGATGACTGGGACTTGGATTTGGCCATGGACAGGGCAAAAAATAACTAGAATGTGGCATTTGATCACTGGGCTCTATATACTTGGTTACCGCAGAACACTCTCCAAGCCTCTGATCATGGTAGGTCTCATGCGGATACCGTCATCTAAGTCGGGATCTGCTCCGGCTGCGGCGTCTCAGTATACCGCGAGCTGTAGCTCGCGGTATACTGAGCTTAGGGTAACGAGAGGATGCTAGTTTGTGTCCTCCCGTTACCCTAAGGAGAACTATGGGGAAAAACACTGACCCCATAGTTCTCCTTTAAGCCTACATGAGCACAGCACATTATTAATTTTTCTCCTGCCATTGTTTTTACCGTGCTGGAGAAATAAGTGTTGCATGATGCATCACTAGCTGCAGTGCGCACACCCTCTACACTATCTCTTCCCACCTTTTCAGCATGAGATAGTCCTCCCGCAATTGCTCTACTCACAAGGGTCATGGTTATGGTAATGGTTTTACCTTGGTTTGGCCTTGCGACTGCCTACAGTGACTTGTGGGTACTAAAGATCTTTCCTGGACTGGGGAGGAGGGGGAGAGAACAGGCAGCGTGGCTGGATTAGGGTAGAGAGAAAAGAGAACTGTGTCCACTTCATGGCTTAGCTGGGAGGACTACAAGGTTCTATAATATCCAACTTGTCTCCCAGCTCAGCTGTTGATTGAAGATCAATGAAAAGTAAAGAGACGAGAAAAAATTAAAAATAATATCCTACAAGGAATGAAAAAAAAATAGGAACAACGATCCCCAGCAGGGAGATAGGTACTTACTCCTTCACACTAGGCAAAAAAATGGGTTTTCCTTGGACGGGGTGTGGCCACCAGAAGGAGCCACCCCCTGAGCTGAGCTTCTTTTTCGTGCCTAGCCTCCTACTCCTGCAGGTGGTGGTAAAACCAACAGGTGCAGAGATCTAGATTTCCATTGTGTCCTTCATAAAAAGAGAAATGTACTTTTGTCAAGTCAGTGGTGCTGGAAGAACCTCCCACGGATCACATTTCAGTCAATTGAGAAGAAAATGGCCAAAATGGCATCCATGTAGGGCCAACTTTCGACAATTTTGAAGAAACTCAAAGACAGATCTTAAAAGGTACTTCCCTACCTAAACATTTCAGCATAGCTGAGGAATAGCATAGGAAGATTGAACTTCAAAAATAGGCCAGCAATGGCATTTTCCATAGTTCTATCTTGATGGGCTCCTTTTAAGCTAGCTTCAGGGCTTGGAGCTCCTCAACTTTTACCAATGTAATGAAGCTAAATGGTGTTCTCAGACTAGAACAGTGTTTTGCCAGGAAATTCCTCTAGAGAGTCCTCTAGATCAAAAGAAAGAACTGTGATTGTGCTTTGCTTTAAATCATTTTCTACATTCCATTTTAGGCATTGATCAAATGACATGCATGATTACAGTTTAACATAATAAATTGTTGTTTCTTACCAGGAGTTTTTATCTTCTCTGCAACGTCTGTACCAGGCAAAACTAGGCACTGTTGACTTCTTAACTGCATATGAAGCTGCTAGAAAAGAAATCAATGCTTGGGTTTCAGAGCAAACAATGGGTTAGTATGTTTTTTTAACAAATGCACTGAAAAATATTTACTAGAACAACAAGTTGCAGGATTTGCCTCTGAAAATGATCTGTATCTAGATCTGTCTGTGAAGGTTCTCATTCATCAAGGTCAAGGTATATCTGAAAAAAAAAAAAAAAAAAATAAGGTAACTGGACTTGATGTATTGTTCTATTATAGATGTATCTAGATCTGCCTAGCACACAATTCTAATGTGATTTAGATGTGGTTATTAATAACTGAAATTTATTAAGCAAGAAAACCTAAAAGTATCTTGTGCAGACAGAATCTGGAGCAGTTGCCAATATTAAACAATCAGCTTCTCTCTTCAGTTTGTTCAGTTACATTTTGAAAATGAGAGATTGGTTGCCATGGACAACTACTCCAGATTTTGTCTACTCCAGTATTGATAAATCCCTCTCTTAGAATTGTTCATTGTGCCTATGTAGTACACTGAAATGTTTCAGGAGGGGTTCAAGACAAAAGCTACATCTGTTAATTGAATTTCTGTGCCTGTAGACTCATACAGTAGCTATATACGGTATATGTATTGCATATAAGGCAATGTGCCTGTGAATGCTAGTCTCATAAGCTTTGGAGAGGTCACTACTGTGCTACTTCCTGTTCTCCTCACTGGATAGAAAGCTGCTTCTGCTTCATTTATTCCGTGCTTTCTGCGCCTCTCCTGCCGCTTCTTAAATCTTGCCCAAGAATCAGATGACCAGTCATCAGGGAGCAACTCTGACTTGAGGAAGCAAAGTTCTGTCTTTATCAAGATGGCCACATCCACACACGAACCCTAGTGCAGAACAAGGCAAGGTAAGTTTGCAATAGGGAAATGATCAGCTGCAGAGAGCCTACAGATAATATTGATGCCCTCTGTTTTCCTTTTTGGACACAGCTTCAACAGTTTAGGTCCTCTGTAACTGTAATTCTATGGAATACTTTTGTTAATATAGGCAATAATTGCAGGTCCATAATACATTTATAACCAATGCCAAATGTATTATAATATTAAAATACATAATCAAACATACTGGATTCAGAATGATGTGCTCTATGAATGTGCTTTACACTCCATTTGATTTGAGATGCTAAAGCAAGCGAAGCTCCATTCATGTCAATGGAGAGAAGAAAAAAAGTGCTAGGAGGAAAGCCCAATCATGTAACCGGCCTCTCCTGCAACCATAGACTGTTCTCTGCAATGTAATGCAGACAATACTCTGTGGGACACAACAGGCTGTACACTATGGTAGACATAGTGAATAGTACATAGTGAAATTTAGTTTATTTCGGATGACTTAAATGATCATTACCAACTAAAAAAAAAAAAAAACCTGTAGGGGCCCTCTAAAAACCCTTACCAGACCCTTAATCCGGGCAGCAGCCTGGCATGGCAGGAAAGAGGGGACAAGCGAGCGGCCTCCCCTCTCTCCACCATACCAGGCCACATGCCTGTGGCATTGGGAGGGTGCTTTTCCAGGGGACAAGGGTCTCCGATAGCGACAAGGGTCTCCCCCCCACAACCCTGACCCAGTGGTTGTTGGGGTCTGTGGGCAGGGGGGCTCATCTGCATCTGGGTACCCCCTTTCCAGCTGCTGATGTCTCCTCCCATCACTGGACCCGGAAGTGATGTGTATTACATCACTTCCAATGTCATTGTTTACATTCTCTGGCTCTTAGAGCCAGGAATTCTCTGGCTCTTAGAGCCATCAGCAGCCGGAAATCTGCTGATCTCTCCCCGATTGCTGCGGGGGGAGACCCACTGTGCGGTTCCGGGGTCCGGATGGGGGACAGTGTAGGCCAGGTAAGCCAGCGGCGGAGGGGGGGTGAGGTCAGCACATGCCACCGATCGGTACAAACGATCCGGTGGCTGTATAGATGTTGCATAAATAAACAAAGCCTGCTATTGGCTATTTAAAATTGACATACCCAATAGCAGGCTTGCTAATGCTTCACCCACTCCCTGATGTCAGTCACAGAGTTCTATGTGTGATGTGGTTCTTCCCATGGTGTCCCTATCTCCTAGCAATCTGCGTGTTGCAGCTTTATACTAGTAGGAGTTTGTCTATTCGATTTTTTTTTATTACTGCATTAAAAATAGGCAATATATATTTATTTATATTTTGTTTTTTTAGGAAAGATTCCAGAAGTGCTGTCTGAAGGATCAGTGGATCCAACAACCATTTTAGTGCTAGTGAATGCTATATATTTTAAAGGGGACTGGGCTGAAAAATTCAATGTGCAACAAACAGCTGATGCTCCATTCAGGTTAAGCAAGGTAATGTAAATTTTTCATAAGTGTCGCTGATACTGCTGTTTTGGCTTTAAATGTACTTTAACATGCATTCCTTTCATCAAGTAATTGCGTACAACCCCCCTCACCAGTTCACATGGGATGATATCAATACAGGTCCATATAAGCACATTACACCTATTTATACATAGAAAGATGGAAAGTGATAGCTGTACAAACGTGTCAGATCACAGCTATCAGTGTTTTAGAGAGGGATATAGGATAAAAACAGTAATGAATATTGTTGTTTGGGATAACACTTATTTTTCTTCTTTTTTGCTTCTGGTTTTAAAACCCTTATTTTCATTTGTGTTCAAAATTAAATCCTAATGTTTCAATCAAAACAGCTTTGTAGATTTCATTTTTCTTTTAATAGAATGAGCAGAAGACAGTAAAAATGATGTATCAGATGAAAAAGTTTCCCTTCAACTATGTCCCAGAAATTAACTGTCGTATCCTGGAGCTCCCATATGTGGACCATGAACTCAGCATGATTATTATATTGCCTGACAGCATTGAAGATGATACCACTGGCTTACAAAAGGTAAATGTACTCATAATAAGTAACAATATCAATTGTTTTGGAAAATAATTGGCTAGGCAATGGCGAAAAAAGACTACAATACAAAACTTGGGAAAACAAAGGTCGGAGAAAAATAAAACAATCCAGTGGGTTAAAAACTTTGGGTAATTTCCATATTGTTCTCTGTATAGGTATAGCTTAATTATATTATTCCACCAGTGCATAGAAATCTTCGCAAAATTGACATTTAGGAAATAAATCTAGATGGATAGAGCATTAAGGAATAGAAGGCAAAACAGACAACGGACAAGCAAAGTACTCAGGGCTATAGACTGAAATTAAGGGTCAGGAATAGCAAAGGTTTCAAGAGGGGAACAATTTTGTGTACACTTTCCTAAGATTAACAGTTTGGGATAAACTTTCTTTAACCCTTACAGTGGGGCTACCCCCTGCACTGCAAGGGTTAATTGCTAATTTTGTCTAGAGGAAATAGGTAAAATTGCTTTCTTTATTTCTGTGTGCCATAGGCTTCCTCCCTGCTGTTTGAGCGGTCCTCCAACACTGCTCTCCTTTGCTGCTTGATTGGTCACAGCCTCTACATTGTCGTCATGTACTGTGCAGGACCAGCATTCCTGCATTGTATATCATGTCATTGAGAGGCTGCCCACTAACCAGAAGTATCTGAGAGTGGAGAAGAGTGCCGACCGCCAAGGGTGCAAGGAAAAGGGCAAGTACTGTGCTTATTTCAATTATCCTAGACAAAACAAGCCATTAACCTTTGCTCTGTGTGTGTGTGGGGGGGGGGGGGTTACTGCAAGGTGCATTTTATTTTTGATGCTTTATTTTGGTCCCTGCTACTGTGTCACTCTGTGTTGATTCCCTTAACTTCTAGCCAGGAGTGCACGCTGTGCATGTTATGTGCTGCCCATGTGTGTGTGCATGGAGCATCTTCCCTGATATCAGTCAAGGTATGGTGGGCAGAACAGGGGTGTGGTTTACAGAGGAGGCTGTCCCTGCCACCTCTGCAGTCCTGACCGGGAGCATGGCTCTCAGGATGGCTCCAGGAAGACCCTGCAAGACATTAGAGCCACCCCAGGAGCCCAAGTCTGCTGGCCATTTTTTTCTAGTTCTACTTTTGTACAAAAGGAAGAACTTGACAACTAGACTAGACAACAGTCCAGCAATCTTGTGATTCATAATGCTATACAAAGTCTTAAATTGGTGACCTGATTATTTTTTAAATGATGGTTATTGTGTAATTTTCTATGTGGAGCTCTGATCTTATATTTTTCCACTTACATTCGCATCTTGCAGCTTGAAAGGGAACTGACTGTTGAAAAGTTCAAGGAGTGGACACAGCCAGAAAATATGCATCCTATAGATGTCCATGTTCACCTGCCCAAATTTAAGCTGGAAGATAGTTACAAGCTGAAACCGGTGTTATCTGCTCTAGGGATGGTGGATATCTTTAATGCAGGTTGTGCAGACCTCTCAGGAATGTCAGGATCCAAAAATCTTTTCTTGTCCGAGGTGGTCCACAAGACATTTGTGGAGGTGAATGAAGAAGGTACAGAGGCAGCTGCTGCCACTGCTGGTATTGCTATGATGTGCATGCTACGTGAAGAGGATTTTAATGCCGATCACCCCTTTCTATTCTTTATTCGTCATAATATTACTGGGAACATACTTTTTACTGGCAGATATAGTTCCCCTTAAAGTGGTTAAAATTGCAATTACATTTTTTAAGTGTGTTTCAGTTTGTCTTGTAATAAATCACAGACTATGAAGAGTTGACCATTGTTCTTGAATCAATATTTTACTGTGTTTATTCTACAACAAAGTCATAAATCATGTCTTATCAGAAGTTTGGATGGGTGTGACGTATAACCGTATTCCTTAAGTAAACTTTTAGCAGGAAAAAAAATTGGCAAGTGAATAGTCATAGAAACTGTTTTAGAAGGAATTACAGAATCTCCACAGCAAGGTTTCTTAGTAAGCTGATAACCAAGTGCTGCTTAACTACTTGCTGACCAGGGTGTTAAACCCCATTCCTGGCCATGCCATTTTTCAGTATTCAGCGCTGCGGTACTTTGACGTTTATTCCGTCATGCAACGCTGTACTGAAATTAATTTTACACCATTTTTTGGGGACACATAGAGCTTTCTTTTGGTGGTATTTAATCACCACTGGGGTTTTTATTTTTTACTATATCATTTAAAAAGTACCGAATCTTTTGAAAATAAACAGTTTTCCCTACGTTGTGTTATAAAACATTTATTATTACCCAATTTTTTGGTAAAATACGGGGTCACATCGGGTAAATAGACATCAAACATGTCAAGCTTTAAACTTGCGTGCGCCTGCGAAATTGCAAACAACTACCATACCTAAAATTGTCCATAGACAACACTTTAAAAGCTTTTACCGCTCATCAGTTTAGTGTTGTTAGTGATTGATGGCCCTAGAATTCTTGCTCGTGGCTATATGTAACATATGTGGCGTAATTGTTGTTTTCGAACTTAGGCGCAGCCGACGCGTATTTACATTTATACATGCAC